GTGGTCGTCGTCGTCGTCGTCGTCGTAGTGGTAGTGGTGGTAGTAGTAGTAGTCGTCGTCGTAGTAGTAGTAGTGGTAGTGGTAGTGGTAGTGGTAGTGGTAGTGGTAGTGGTGGTGGTAGCAGTAGTAGTAGTAGTAGTAGTAGTAGTAGTTGTTGTTGTTGTTGCTGTAGCCGTAGCAGTAGCAATAGCCGTAGCAGTAGTAGTAGTAGTACTAGTACTAGTCTAGCAGCAGCAGTAGCAGCAGCAGCAACAGGAGCAGCAGTCGTGGTTGTTGTTGGTGGTGGTAGTGGTGGTGGGAGTAGTAGCAGCAGCAAAAGCAGTCGTGGAGGTCATAGTGGTGGTAGTGGTAGTTGTCGTGGTCTGGGTAGCTTTGAAGCAGTCTTAGTAGCGGCTTTCGTGGTTGCTGTTGGTGGTGATGTTGTTCTGGCGACAACAGTAACACGAGTACAATCGGCCCTGCACTATCTTAGTCCTTACTAAAAGAAGTCACTTGGGGATTGACAGTGGTGCCTCGAACCCACACTCGTGTTGGTGCTTCGAAGTTTAGGGTTTAGGGGTTTAGGGTTTCCGGGGTTAGGGTTTGGAGGTGTTGAAACAACACGAACATAGCAGACACTTGATCAAGCTTTAGGGTGGGTTTAGGGTGGGTTTAGGCTATTAGGGTGGTTTAGGGTGCTGAGTAACAGCAGAGGTATTACTTGGTCCAAAACAAGACTACAAACCTGGCAAGGCCTTCTGCGTCACCTCCCTTGCTCCCATCACCCTCGAGAGCAAACGGGTAATCCTCCATGGCAAGCTCAGGATCTTCCATCGGCTCGTCGTCGCCGCCTTCCAAGATCTCGGCGACCGTGTGGCGTTTCGTCTTCCTGAGGAAGGAAGGATTGTCAAATGGGGCTAGGGGTCGTTGCTACCAAACCGTATGCGACACATAAACCAGAGCTAGGGCACTTGTTGGATCCTTTGACTCTCACAGCCACCCAGTACATCCACTCATCGCAATACTCGGACTTCCTCTGTCTAAGGATCAGGAGCACAGAAGCTAAACTAATGCTCATGTGTGGTATGCCATTCGGAACAAGTGCAGACTCTCCTCTTCCAGCCTGTTTTTTTTCTCGCAACTCTTCTTGGCACCTTTAATCTTTTTCCTCGGCTAAGGACATTGGGTTCAGGGTTTAGGGTTTCGGGTTTAGGGTCTAGGTTTAGGGTTTCGGGCTTAGGGTTTCTATTTAAATCTCAGTCACTCGCTCCATCCCTTTTCCTCCATCTCCTGTTCTGTTAGGAACTCATACTCTGTCTCCACAGTCTTCTCATTGATCTCCTCATACTTGCGGTTGATTCGCTTCGCGAAGAGGACCTGGCCAGGTCTATAATCTTATGCCAGGAACATAGATAAGTGCGACTTATGCTTTAATCGAGGCAGTGGAACGGGGTCGCAGCCGCACTTCTCGAAGCTCCGGTAGACTTCGTCGCGACTGCTGAGATTCTTGTAGGTCTCGATAACATCTAGAGGGATTTTGTATGTCCCATCCTCCCGAGGTGCACAGAGGCGTGCCAGCCTTTTCATCAGGGTCGCTTTGCTCACCTGTTCTGGGGGATCAACGGGCTGATCTCCGGGGTCGTACTCCTCATCCTGTTCCTTGGCCTTGGCCTTGCTGGTGGGAAGGAGCCGTTTGGGCTGCGGTTTGCTAGGGGCAGCGGCGATCTGGTCCGGGGCTCCCTCGGGATTGGCTAGGGCTGCTGCGGGCTGGATCCTGGGTTTCTGCGGATTGCTTGGGGCTGCTTGCTTTGCATCACTTGCTTCGGCCTGGATCTCGGGTTTCGGCGGATTGGTTCGGGCTGCTTGCTTTGCATCACTTGCTTCGGCCTGGATCTCGGGTTTCGGCGGATTGGTTCGGGCTGCTTGCTTTGCAACACTCGCTTCGGCGCGGATCTCGGGTTTCGGCGGCTTGGTTTGGGCTGCTTGGTTTGCATCACTCGCTTCGGCGTGGATCTCGGGTTTCGGCGGCTTGGTTTGGGCTGCTTGCTTTGCATCACTCGGTTCGGCCTGGACCTCGGGTTTCGGCTTCCCATCACTTTCTTCGGCCTGGCTTGGCTGGGGGGCTTGCTTCGGGGAGGCGGCTTGGGTGCTCTGGGCGGGGAGGGGCTCGTCCGGCGTGGGCGAGCTCTCCACCAGCATGGTCTCGGGGATGTCGTCGTAGCCACTAGTCTTTTCCGGCGTGGGGAACTTGCTGGGGGTCGATGTTTGCGACCCCGTTTGCGAGGAATGCCAGGAGGCCCCACGAGACAAAGGCTCCTGTAGATTAAACTATGAACAAATCTTCCTAAAGTCTTCGAATCTTAGAAAGCAGGACACACTGCTGCTGTTATCGCTGCTCCTGGGCGGCTTTCGGGTCCAGGCCGTGGGCCTTCATACGAGCCTCGGATGCAATGGGATTGAAAGAGGTGGGCTGCAACAAAAGTTTGGCAGTCGAACCCAATCAATCCGGAGCACCAAGAGGGCTTCCTTTTGGGCCAGGAGGGCTCGCATTTGGGCATCATTCTCCATGGCTCGGATTAGCCTCAAAACTGGCCTTATCGGGCCAAAACATCTAGGAAGATGAATCACTTGTGGTGCCCAGCTGTGGTCTCCCGCGTAATCCCGCCGGAATCCCGGCTGTTCCCGCGTAAATCCCGGCTAATCCCGCCGGCAATCGGTGAGCCCAAAAACCATCACAGACCTGCAAAAGCCCCCAAAACCACTAGCAGCCCCACCACCAACCCCCCAAAACACTTCAAAAGCAACAACAAGCCCCACAAGACCTGCCAAAAAACACACCTGCTCCCTTCTCTGGTCCTCTTTTGCCTCTCTCCCTCTCCCTCTCTCTCTAGCTTCCCTCTCTCCCTCTCTATTCCTGTCTCACTCCCCCTCTCTCCTGGTCCCTCTCGCCCTCGAAACCACTTAGTTGTGGGCTTGTGCAGTAGCAAGGCAGTTTTCTCTTCAGCACAGCCACAGCCAATCAGTCCATCTCATCAAGAAACCTGCGACCAGCTTCCTCTGCCCTTGGCAAGCAACTTGACTTGTGACGTCCCGGATAGTCTTTGCAGACTGAGCAGCAGTGGATATGTGGAGGGAACACCTTGCGAGAACAAGTCTTGCAATCCTGCACAGGCATCAAAGCAACTATATCAGCATTGATCCCCGAGCACCTCTTGCTATGTCGTTTGCCCTTTCGACAGCCAGCACAGCAAAACAGATGAGGTTCCACAGCCTTCCGTGTACAGCCTTCTTTCGAGCAGAGCCAGCGAGCAGGAGGATCACCATTGGATGTCGGGAACATGCTTGGTGTCTAACACGATTGCCTCTAGACTGCGATCCTCCTTGACCCTACATGCCACCTGTGACGAAACCCGAACCGAATGGCAACCTCCTTATTTAATTCACCAACGGAAGAATTGTCCTTGCATCTGACAGGCACGGCATCTTTGGAGCCCGACTTGCAGCTTCACGGTTTTTAGGGTTCAGGGTGGAGGCTTGGGTTCAGGGTTTAGGGTTTAGGGTTTAGCGGGAAGTGCAACTATTCGGTCTTAGTTAGCTTGGCTCCTACTTGTTTCGACTGTGGCCTTGAAGCCTAGAGTCAAGGTGAGCAGGGGCCGGCCCTCATACCCTGTAGGATCTAGCTTTTGCTGCTTAAGCATCTTTTCTACCCGATCGGAAGACCCTGGGTGTTTTTCGCTTTGGGGTCAGGTTCTGTCTTCTGAGTACACATGCATAGGATATGTTATTATATACTAGGGGACGAGTCTACGTAATGCAGAGTCAATCAAAACTGGGCTAGTGTTGTGTGTGATAGATCCTATCTAGAGTTCTGGGTTCAGGTTTTGCTTTAAGGCTTTCCAGAGGCTCCTGCTGTGGGTCTCAAAAGCCCGAAGCCTAACCCCGGCCACAAGTAACCGAATTCCAAAACAGCCGGTCAGAAAGCCTCCGAACCTTGGTCTTCCCAAACAAAAGAAGCCTCCCAACTAGATCGCCCCCTCTGAACCCTAAGACCTTCATGCTGAAGTCCAGGCAGCCGGCTTGGGTTTAGAGTTTAGGGTTTGGGGTTTGGGGTTTAGGGTTGCTGGGGTTTAGGGTTCAGGGCTACTGGTAAAGGCCACCGATACTCGAATTCTTGACAAAGAGTGTACAGCCTAAACCCTAAACCGCCATGATCCCTAAGACCTTAAAGCTGAAGTCCAGGCAGTCGGCTTGGGTTTGGGGTTTAGGGTTTGGGGTTAAGGGTTTAGGGCCGTAGGGCTAGTGGTAAAGCCGACCGATACTCGAAGTCATCACAGAAAGACCGAAAAGCCCTTCAACCCGAAACCCCCTCAACCCTAAGACCTTAAAGCTGAAGTCCAGGCAGCCGGCTTGGGTTTAGAGTTTAGGGTGTAGGATCTGGGTTTTAGGGTTTGGGGTTAAGGGGTTGTTGGGCTTTCGGGTCTGGGGCTGTGGCAACGGCCACCGAGACTCGAAGTCGTCACAGAAAGACCGAAATGCCTTTGAACCCTAAACCCTTAAACCCTATAGCCACCGGAACCCCAAGGACTTAAAAATGAAGTCCAGGCAGCCTGCTTGGGTTTGGGTTTTAAGCTTTGGGGTTTAGGCTTTGGGGTTGCTGGGGTTTAGGGTTTAGGGCTAGTCGTAAAGGCAACCGATACTCGAAATCATCACACGAAGATCGAAAAGCCCTTCAGCCCTGAACCCCCATGAACCCCAAGACCTTAAACCTGAAGTCCAGGCAGCCGGCTTGGGTTTAGGGTTTAGGGTTTGGGGTTTTGGGTTAGTGGCAAGGGCCACCGATACTCGAATTCATCACACAAAAATCCCTAAGCCCTTAAAACCCTTAACCCTAAAGCCCCCTGAACCCTAAGGACTTGAACTTGAATCACTGAAGTCCAGGCAGCCTGCTTGGGTTTGGGGTTTCGGGTCTGGGGTTTAGGCTTTGGGGTTGTGGGGGTTTAGGGTTTGGGGCTACTGGTAGAGGCAACCGATACTCGAATTCATGACAAAGACTGTAAAGCCTAAACCCTAAACCCCATACCAGGACGTGACAATCGGACCTATAAAATAATACCTCAAGAGCATAGCTTATTTTGAGGTATTATTTTATAGGTCCGGTTGACACGTCTTGGTATGATCCCTCAGACCTTAAACCTGAAGTCCAGGCAGCCGGCTTGGGTTCACAGCTTAGGGTTTGGAGTTTGGGGTTTGGGGCTAGAGGCGAAGGCCACCGATACTAGAATTCATCACAGAAAAATTGAAAGCCCTGAAACCCTAAACCCTAAACCACCCTCAACCCTAAGACCTAAAAGCTGAAGTCCAGGCAACCGGCTTGGGTTCAGGTTTTAGGGTTTGGGGTTTAGGGTTTAGGCCTAGTGGCAAAGGCCACCGATATTAGAATTCATCACACAAAGATCGAAAAGCCCTTCAACCCTAAGTCCTAAAGCCCTCTGAACCCTAAGACCTTAAACCTGAAGTCCAGGCAGCCTGCTTCGGTTTCGGGTTAGGGTGTAGGGTCTAGGGTTTATGGTTAGTGGCAAAGGCGAAAGATACTAGAATCCGTCACAAAGATTAGCCCTTCAAGCCTACCCCGAAACGGCTAGGACCTGAAGAAAAAACAAGCAAACCCAGGAAAAGCGTGGCAGCTGACTTTCTTCGGCGAGGCCAAACTGCTGGAAAGCCCAGCAAGTCATCTCCAGGACTGTACCTGCCGGTGCAGGGGATCGCTTGTCGTTTAGAGTCAAGTTCAGGGCTGATTTGTGCACTTGCTACCCATGCAGAATAGTAGAGTCTTTTCGCTGCCTTCACGAGAAGCTGCATCCCTCGTCATGACTCATGCTTCCTCTAAAGGGCAGTGCGTGGCGACCCAAGCTTGTGCCATCAGACAACAAATGACATTGTAGTGTTATCGAAGCACACTCGCCCCTGGAAAGCAGACACCCGCCATTGGATCCTAGTGATCCCAGAGAGCAGCACTGGAACGGTTCAGAAAACGTGGCCCGAGTCATTGACTCAGGATCAAGATTGCCGTCGGATCATACCACGGAGCCTCGGATAAAGTGTCGTGGCTGCAACTCGCTAACAAGGTTTTTTCAAAACCAGGGGGCTTTAAGCTCGTCAAGCAGCCCGTCGGATCATACCACGGAGCCTCGGGTGCTAGGCTAGGGCTGAAATTCAGCGACCTCGTGTAGATTGTACACCACACCAAGAAACTAAGCTTGTCAAGCTCATCGCCGGATCATACCACGGAGCCTCGGAGACAGTGGCTTAATTAATATATGCACAAGCTGGATAATGCAACTACTTCTAGACAGGGAGCTTTACTCCAGAGTCTTCAAGAAGATGGCCGCCTCATCCTTGGCAACCGGCATGTAATCATCGGTGTTGTCGAGCTCGAGCAGCTTGGGCTTGCAATGCTTCCAAAAGAGATCCTGCGAGAGAAACATACATGGGTTTAGGAGCTTTGAGGCTTTAAACTTTAGACTCGGGGGCTTTCGGCGTGAGGGCTTTTAGGGCTTTTAGGGGTTTAGGGTTTAGAGTTTCGGGCTTGGGGCTTGTGGGTTTGGGGCTTTAAGACTTGATGATTCTTGTGTTTAGGGCTTTGGGTTTGTCGGTCTTAAATAGTTTAGGGTTTGAGGTTTATGGGGTTTTGGGTTGTTGAGTTGTTGAGTGAGGTGGGCGGCTGGGATGATGTTTTCAGCTGGCACTCCTCGTACTTAGTCGGAGCTTTCACGAAAGGCCGCACAACCTCATAAAAGGAATCGCGGATGGCTGTCCACAGGATCAAGGAGTCGCCCTGTGGCGGATTCCGCCGTGCGAAAGTTCTGGAAGTCGGCTGGTCCCCCTCCGATTTTCGCTTGCGACCTCCAGGCTTGGGTTCCTCTGAGGCTGTCTTGCCCTTCTTCTTCGGATTCTCATCCCCACACTTGCCCGGCACATCCACAGACTTAGCCCCAGCTTTGGCTTTGGCTTTGGCCTTCGGCACAGGATCGGTCTTGCCCGGCTCATCCTTAGACGGCTTAGCCACAGCTTTCGCTTTGGCCTTCGCCAAGGGATCGGTTTGGCCCGGCACATCCGAAGACTTAGCCCTAGCTTTCGCTTTGGCCTTCGGCACAGGATCGCTCTTGCCCGGCACATCCGATGCCTTAGCCCCAGCCTTCACTTTGGCTTTGGCCTTCGCCTTTCCCTTCGGCCAACCTTTTTTTCTCCCACCATCCACCTTGGCTGCTGGCTTCTTCATCACTGGGAGAGCGTCGTCATCCTCATCGGGGGTCGTCGTCTGGTTGTTGCCCCTGTCTCGCATCTGAAACTCCCGTCTCGTCTGCACCTGTGATGACGTAGGGATTCGGGAGTTTAGGGGTTAAGGCTGGAGGACTAGTAGAGGCGAGGTTTTGATAACGAGTGATAAATAAAAGACTCCGGGCCTGGGGTTCTCAGAAACTGAATAGGTTCTTGACACCTAGTCTCTATTGTTTATCTAGAAATATTGTTATATGGAGTCTCTCGTGGATCCTGATTGAGGGCTTCGGTTGTTTAGGGTCTAGGGTTTAGGGTTTAAGGGTTAAGGTTTAGGGGTTACCCCAAACCCATAAACTTTCTCGGTTCGAATCCTTGGGTTACATACCAGATCCGAAACCTAAATCTTTACCACAAGCACCCGATAAACCCAAAACACTGCAGCGTGAGGGATTTTTGGGGTTGTAGGGGTTTTGGGAGTTCGAGGTATGGCTTTTGGGGACTCATAGTTTGTTGAGCTTAGTGCTATCCAAATCTGAACTCCTCAAGCCCCCCCAATAAAACCTTGAGAAAAGTATGTAGGATGCCCCACCTTGCAAGCCAAGAGATCAACATCAGGAGATGCTGCATCGCTCACACTGGCGACTTCCAAGGAGACCGACTCTGGGCAAGAATCAGCTTCGCCGGAAACTTTGTCTGTCGGGGCAACAAGTGGGACCTCGACTGGTTCCTCGGAAACTTCCGGTCTAGGGGCAACTGCTGGGACCTCGCGTGGTTCCTCGGAAACTTCGTGTCTAGGGGCAACTGCTGGTGGGACCTCGCCTGGTTCCTCGGAAACTTTGTCTCTAGGGGCAACTGCTGGTGGGACCTCGAGTGGTTCCTGGGAAACTTTCTCTGTCGGGGCAACTGCTGGGACCTCGCGTGGTTCCTTGGAAGCTTTCTCTGTCGGGGCAACTGCTGGGACCTCGAGTGGTTCCTCGGAAACTTTGTCGTCTGTCGGGGCAACTGCTGGGACCTGCACTGGTTCCTCGGAAACTTCGTCTGTCGGGGCAACTGCTGGAACTGGAAGAGCAGCTGCTGACCTTGCCGGCGTGGCCACCGGAACTGGGCGTGAGGCCCCCTCTTTCGAGCAAGAGCCTTCCTGTTCCAGAAGAGCTATGTCCAGGTTACTGCAAGCACCCCTTCGAACGAAATAAGCTTCACCCGCTTCGAATGCCTCAAGCTCCTGAAACAGCTCGTCATTCAGGAAATCTCCGTCTGCAGCGATGGTCTGCTGGGTGTCCATGTGCTTCACACCTGGGCTGCATTAGGGCTTTGAGGTTTTCGGGTTTAAGGTGTTGGGGCTTTGGGGTTTAGGGCTTTAGGGCTCTGATGTGTTAGGCTTTAAGGTTTTTGGTCTTTGGGGTTTAGGGCTTTGAGGTTTGAAGCTTTAAGGTTTTGGGGCTTTTGGGTTTAGGGCTTTGTGGTTTTATGCTTTGGGGTTTAGGGCTCTGATGTGTTAGGCTTTAAGGTTTTTGGGCTTTGGGGTTTAGGGCTTTGGGGTTTGAAGCTTTAAGATTTTGGGGCTTTTGGGTTTAGGGCATTGTGGATTTAGGGTTTAAGGTTTTTGGGCTTTGGGGTTTAGGGCTTTGAGGTTTTAGGTTTTAAGATTTTTGAGTTTTGGGGTTTAGGGCTTTGAGGTTTTAAGTTTTAAGATTTTTCAGTTGTGGGGTTTAGGGCTTTGAGGTTTTAAGTTTTAAGGTTTTTGAGCTTTGGGGTTTAGGACTTTAGGGCTTTAAGGGTTTAGGGCTTTAGGCTTTAGGGCCTGGGATTTAGGAGTTTAGGACTTTCGGGTTTTAGGGCTTTTGGGTTTTAGGGATAAAGGCTTTAGACCAAATGGGGTTTTGGCGCTTTAACTTCTTTAGGGTTCTCGGGTCTTCGTGTCAAGCAGAAATCATCCCGGGAACCACTCAAATCGAAGCCTTCAATTCAACACCCAAAAGCCCGGAAGTCCTAAAGCCTAAAGCCTCAAAGCCCTAAGGCCCTAAACCCCAAAGCCCAAAAGCCTTAAAGCTTAAAGCCTCAAAGCCCTAAAGCCCATGCCCTAAACCCTAAAGCTCTTCACCCTTCAAGCCCTAAACCCCCAAACCCAAAATTCCCTGCACCCTTAAAAACCAAAACCTTGAAGCCGTAAAGCCCTTAAGGCTTAAAACTCCCTAAAGCCCCGAAGCCCCTACACCTTACACCCAAAGCGTGGGGTGAGGTCCTGCTGAAGCTAGTGGGAACACGATTGAGCTGAGGATCTGTTCCAAGCTTGGATCGTTCGCTGCCCAAACAGAGCAGCTCGTCGATGAGCAATTCGCTGCCTCGGCTGCTCGGCTCTACATTATCTCAGACAATGGATTAGAATTAGAATGGAGAGTCAAGCTTTTAAGACGAGATGCTCCAGTTCGGCCAGCTCTCTCACCAGATCGATGCCTTCAGCAGGCACTGGTGCCTCGTAAGGCACAACCTGTTCGGTCTCGGCATCTAGCTCATAGGCCACCGTCCCGACATATGCCGAAGGTGGCTGCGGGGATCCAGAAACCAGCCCCATGCTTTCAGCAAGGTATGCATCAACCTCGCAAACCTGTCCATTCTCATCCTCTGGCTCTGTCATAGTTTCTTCCTCCTCGTCTTCTCCCTCCTCCTCTTCCTGCTCCTCCTCTTCCTGCTCTACAACAGCCAAGGATCTGCGGCTGCGAACCTTGGCCGGCCAGTACCTGCCGACAGCATCGAAGATGGCCTTCAGGCGATGATCCTGAAATGAGGCTTGGGTTCCAGCTTGCAATCTCTAACTAGAGCCAAACCCAACACTGACACCCTCAAAACCAACAGCAACATAAGTAAAGGAGCCTTCCTCTTAGATCCATCGTGTCGCCGATTGATGTAGCTCATAAACATCTTCAAGCTGTGACTGGTGCAGTAGATCATGCCGGGCTTAGGGGTGATGTCGACCTCCTCAAAGTATTTCGTAACCTGATGGCTGATATGAAGAAAATCAAAGACTGATTGAGCCACGGTTTAGGGTTTAGGGTTTAGGGGTTTAGGGTTTTAGGGTTATGCAGTCCCTGCTCAAAAAAGGGTTTTAGGGTTTAGGGTTTAGTGTTTAGGGACAATGACCTGAACTGAAGCAAAGCATTCAACCAAGTAGCTTCCTCCTTCAGGTTCTGCACAGGCACGGTCTTGTTGGGCTCGTTGCTTGGACAGTACACTTCTATCAAAGCCAGCAAAACTTTGTGGTTAAGCATGAGGGATCTCTTGTTGATTTTCCCAACCTTGGAAGGATCCTCCCACTCCAACAAACTTCCTTTCTTTCTAGAAAATTTTCGGATGCCACGGTTGTCCTCCCAAGCTTGCCAAAGGCCCGACAAATCAACATCCCTTCTAGGCTTGGCCCCCCCCTTGCGAGGCGGCGTCTGCAATGCAACGACAGCCATGCTTGAGTATGGCAGAAAAAGCGCGGGGAAGTCAATTGTGCAGTAAGTAGAATGCTTGAAGTTGCTGATTGGTGCACTGCTTGGAAGCTAAAGCAGCTAAAGTCCATCTCGGGGCTCCTCTCGATCCGGCGAAAAGCTTCAGAAGTCAACAAGAGAGCTCAAGCCACGCATACCACTGAAGCAGTGAAGACACACAGCTAGGACACAAGGGGCACCACATCCGGGCTTGTCAGCCCACCAGCCAACACCTGCAGCAAGTCGCCGACTACAGGGGACCCGGTTATGCGAAGGTTCTGCAGGCCTTAAGCTCATCCAGTTGGCTCCACCGATATACCTGCAATAATCCATTGGCTGTTCTTGCAATGCTAAACCAACGATTACAGCCACTTGGGGGCACACAGACACCAGAGGGAAGCTGCAAGCGTAGCCCTGGCACAGCATAGACTTAGGAGCTTGGGGTTCAGGGATAAGGGTTTAGGGACTTAGGAGCTTGGGGTTCAGGGCTAAGGGTTTAGGGTTTAGGGTTTAGGGAAGGCTAAGGGTTCGGGAATTCGCGATTTTGCTAGCCTCGTCGACCTCCTTGGAGCAATCGAAGCCATCCCACCAGGCCTCAGGCGATATAGAAGTGTTTAGACAGGTAAGAGAAACATCAGTAAATGAGCGACAAAGAAGGAGCGAGAGAACGATGCAGCATATGCTTGGTATTGGGCCATGCAAAAGTCGGCCAAAGCCTGCGAAGGCAAAGACTCAACCGTAGGAAAACAGTGACAAGCAGTGGCGTGGATCTGCGAATCATGCTTCATGCTCGAGGCAGTTTTCCCAGGCTCGCATCACCCACTCAGCATCTACTGCTCCGAAGGTTTCTTCGTGTTGGGCCCCGGCTCCTTCGCGGGTGTAAGAGGTTCTGCATTGAGTCCTAGGCACGATCAAACTCTTCCCACTTCTCGCACAAATTGAACTCCTAGAAACATGACTGGTCTTGCAAATGCATCGGAGGCTCTCATCTCCTCTTGGGCCTGCCAAAACTGCCTGGCCAGCTGACGAACCGACCCTCCTTCCTTGTAATTCTTCACGATGACCTCGATCTCGGCAGCAGTGAGGATATCCTCGGCAAGCAAAGGTTATTCCAAGCTGTTACCAAAATGGGATCTATGTGCTGTGAAGTGGCATGGGGCATGTTTGCCTCCGGCCACAACACAGCCTGCACCTGATGGAAGAATGCCAAAGGCATGTCCTGGAGTCCTGCAAGTTCACAAGGTCCATCATGAAAAAAAATTGAGTGCTACATCTCGTGCGGGAAATCTAGTCAGTCCTGCTGACTGCAACAAACGAAAGCTGTCCATGGGAACAGGCAGGTGATCCCCCATGCTTTCAACTTCTTCTGTTATGTCATAATGTATTTGTTTGCCAATGTTCGCATGCTATCTCGAGCCCAACCGCTCATGAATTCAAGTTCTCTGCTTCTCACGATCAAGCAACTGTCTCGAGCAACAAGAAAAGTGCAGCACAGAGCTGGGCACACCTCGAGAGGGCCGGGACAGCCGGAAGAGAGCCGAGATAGGGCTGCAACCGGCTCCAAATCAAAAAACGCCTCCAAAATCAAAGTCCCGCAGACAACCTGCTAATCCCGCATCCGGCCGGCAAAAGGCGATTATGCCCGGCGCCGGCGTTTATAAAAGGCGTCAAGATTCCCCACGTATATATATATATGATAATATATGTACGTAACTGTACGTACATGTTTTTTTGATTTATTTAAATCTATTTATGAAGTCTAGAATCTAGAAGGTCATAAGTAAACGCGATATCCATCACGCAGGCAACTGGGCTTCCAAAGAGATCGTGCGATCCGCGCAGCAGCTGAGAGGTGTTTCACCACGATGTCAACATGTGTACATATCTAAGTAAACAAGTGAAGAATATATGCATACGCGTATGTATGTATTTCGGTCACAGGTTTTGGGCTCAGGTTGTCAGGCCTTAAGTGGAAAACCACAGATTTAGGGTTTAGGGGTTTAGGGTTTAGGAGTGTAGGGTTTGAGGGTTTAGGGGTTAAGGGCTTAGGGGTTTAGGGTTTAGGATTTAGGGGAGGAGCGGCATCAGTCAAATTCACTCGTGGCGTCGTGCGGCTATGTCTCTGATGATCTCGAGATCTTTTTGGCATTATGGTATCGAAGGACTCATATTTTAAGGCTTTTGGGCCCAAAGACCCTATTATATAAGGCTTTTAGGCTATTTTGATGCTAAGGGTATGGCATTATCGTATCCCCAAACCCTATCACATAGTAGGTTATGACCCCTTAATTTCAAGGTATAACCCCTAAAACAATAGGTTTTTGGATACCCAGGTTATGGTATCTACCTCAAGGTCAACACCTAGTTGCACTGTCTGCGCTGCTGGGCCACTTTCGTAGCAGAGAAGAATTTGTACTTCGCGCTGGTGTAAGGTGGGACTCCAGAAATGGACTTCAATCTCCTCGCCACCTTTGCGCGCAAGCAATACCCGAATCATACTCAAGAGTGCTTCTTTCAGATCTGTGCCGGATCAGGTACTCCTGGATGGGGCACCGACGGGATTGTTGAAGATTCGGGTATTGCTTTAGGTGTACAGTCTGCCATATGCCGATGGATCACGAAGGATCCTGCACATAGAAGCCTGCCCTTAGGATCCAGGTGCGCCAAAGGTAGGGTTTCAGTCCCAAGAAGCCCTATTCAGAATATGAAATTTGGGACCTAGAGCCCTGCAATTTGGGTCCTTGGACCCTCTGGTGCGATGTGTAGCCTCAACATGCCAAAGTTGCAAGTGGCCACTGCTGTGAAAACAAGCCACCTAGGCGATGATGTATGCATAATGTAGGGTTTGGGGGTCGGTGTAGTTACGCATATTATTATGAAGGGCCTTATAGGTTTCCTTATCATCTCTATAATGCAAAATCTGTTGAAGTCTCAATGGTAAACCAATATGGTTCCTTTAGGACTGCTCATTCTAAGTATAGTGTATTGTGCCCCCAAACCGTCTTCTAATCAGTCAGGCTAGTACGACTTCCTGTCCTGGCTGTTCTCGATGCAAAGGCCCATGGGCTCTCAGGTTCATCGGCTTGAAGATGTGATTCCGCAGGGAAATCAGCCTGGGGTAAGCACGACCCATGCGTTGAAGTTTAGCACCCCGTCTTTGGGTGTTGGCTGCTGTCGCTGTTGAAGTTAGATTTTGCTCCCGTTCTATGGCCCTCTCCAAGCCGCCGACACCTTGAAAGGCTCTGGAAGTGAGCTGGTTTGGGGTTTAGGGTTTTGTCAGGCTTATTTGTCATTACTTGGGTGAGGCCTAGCACAGAGATTCTGATTGACTTGGACGGCATTCGATCTCCAGACACGACCTGGGGCCTGACAGACTTACTCTTTGGGCTCAATTATGGTTTCTTTTAAAAGTCCTCAATGATTTTCGGTTGTGTGGATTCCGAGCATCTGCGGAAACCTGCTGAACAGTCGCAGATGGAAGTGTTGCAGCTCGATGCCTGCTAGGCCTGCTAGAAATGATATTTTTGGGGCTCTAGATAATCACAGTACCACGTGTGGATCGAGATCCATTGCGTGATCTCCAGGCCTTTCCGGCGAACCGATGTTGACTGTTGAGCTTTGTGTTTGCCGTGTGCCATTGCGGCTCTGGCCCCCTTGGCTTTATTCTGAGATGCTGCCGGCCCTGCAGACCTTCGTCCTGGAGGTGCGATACCTGCGTAATGGGCAGGATTTCGGGATATTTCCCCAAGGGCTCATGTACCCAACTAGTACATTCATATACGCTGTGGCCCCAAAGTACCTGTATAGGGGGCATCAAGGCCAAAGTATATACTACCTTGGTACATGGACCCTAACGGTTTCGGGCATGCAGGTTAGGTTCTTGGGTTGAAAAGGATAGCCTCTTTCTTATGCTGCAGTGTGCCAAGGCATTTCCTGCTTTTCGTTTGATTTGTTACAAGTGTGTTAGTGTTTCAAAAACAAGCTTAACGTGATTCAGTGATAAAGGTATAAAACAAGTTTTAAATATATCACTATTGCCAGTAACAGTCTGTCAGCGCCCTGAGAAGTTGGTTTAGGCTGTTCGACGCGCAAGTGTTGGCTTTTCGGAATTTCATACCCTCCGCATCAGCAGGTTGGGCTGTGGTTTATTTATGGATGCATTATATGTCAGGGATAGTAGAATAGGTGACCCTTAACCTTTTTGGGGTACTATAATCCCTATGTATTCCCCACGGTTATCCTTGTCTTTCCTTAGGATACTGGACAAGTAAGTGGGATCTGGTTTTTTTTTCAGGCTTACACCGAGCTGGGACCCTAACCGCTAAGCCCTATAATCCCTAAAGCCCCAAACCCTACCCCTAAGGCTCTAAGGACTCATATTTTAAGGCTTGTGGGCCCAAAGACCATGCTACATAAGGCTTTTGGGCTATTTTGAGCCTTAGGGCAGAGGGTCTACCGCGTTTGGGGATGAGGGTCGGATGGCTCAGGGTTCACAACCCTAAACTGACACCGAGACCTTCGAATCACCCCAGTGCCCTTCAGCAGACTCTGGGGTGGAGATGGGACTTTCAGGACTCCCTCAATTTTAATGAAATGGCGTGTAAATACCATAATGACAGGAATCGGGGGGTAAAGGTTCACAGCGAATTTTAGCTAGGCCGAAGTCGAAGATTCCAAAACCTATCCAAAGAGTCAACATCCAGAGTGCTTTGCTAATGGCAGCTCAGTGGAGGTTTCTTGATCGCAAATCGTCTTTGCCCAGAGCGCGCACTCACACACACATACACACCTTCACACCGTTCACACCGCTCGCTGCCACCACCTGCTTTTTTAGTTGGGCCTTCACTCCAATCTCTGGCATCGAATTTGCAAATTAGCCAAGCAAATTGTTGTGTGAACCAAGCATGAAACTTTGAATCCTTGTTCACGCGCTTACAGGCCGTTGCAGAACACAACTGGACTCTCTAGAAGCTGTATAATAATACAGGGGCCTTAATCATTACCTCTACAATTTTGGGAAGCTCCTAACCAAAATCATAGTATAAGTATACCCCAACACCCAATTCTAACCATTAAGGCCCCCCACATTTCGATGAGTTATGGAGCCTTGTAGTGCCACGGACATGCGACGCTCGAGTTCTCGGGTTTGCGGGTGGTCTTCGTTGCGGCTCTGAGTTCTTCCAGTCAAGAAAGGGCCCCTTTTTCTGTTTTAAAATGAATCCTTAAGAGCCCCTATACTGGGTCCTTGTTGGATACAATTTTACCGTTTTGTTATACTAAAACCCTAACAAAGATCAAACATGATCAGTATACTCCTATGAAATGGATCCTTACATGGTGTATGAACCGTAAGCCCTTTTACGGTTCTTTGTTCTTAAGGCTTCAAGTAAGGACGCTTAGTATTGCTTCGGCATTCAGTTTTGAGTGGATCGAATCCTGCATGCAGTGTCGCGAAAGTGTAGCCTAAGCCTAGTTCCTCACATGGCGTTCTTGATTCTCCTCTTCTTAAGTCTTAAGTACACAAGCTGCAGGGGTAGCTAACATGAAGCACAGTTTAAGCCATAGATCCCCCCAATGTTATCGAGCCTAAAGCCTGTCCTCAAACCCTTGAGCCCTACAACCCTCCAGCCACCAAGACGTGCGGATCGGATTAGATGCCCGTAGGAATATTTATGTTCCTTCGAGTCCCTGTAAAACTGTACTTTAACAAGCCCCCACTACCTGCCTGAATCATTAAGGCCTCGATATGCTAAACCCTAAACCGTTGCCTTGTGCGACTGTGAGAGTTGAAGCCGTTGTGCAAACTTGCTCTTCCGGCTATTTGCCCAAGGCGTCGACGGCTTTTTTGGGGTGGGGCGTAGTGGTAGCGATTCCCAGACTCCCACGCGAGCGACACAATCCGACAAACGATGGAGTTTGGTGCAGATATATATATATATATATATGGAGAGAGAGAGAGAGAGAGAGAGAGAGACCGAGATCCGTTCAGGGCCGCTTTAAGCCTCAATCAACCCTCCCTGCTGCCGCGCCATGGAAGTGGAGCAGTTGAAGTCGTCTCCAATGGAGGACTCTCAGAGAGGACATACATTTTGGGAGTTGCACCGGATGTTGGCAGATTGCTCCTTGGCGAAAAATTTAGGAGCTCTGAGATGAGAACGAAGACTGTCGCTGCTAATCATCCACACCCAAGAGCTCCGCAAACACCGGGATGTGCAT